GCGTTGGGTCTGCATGACTGTATTGTGGTTTTCTAAATACCGTATACTTCTATATCACTAATGATTTCAACATTTTGTAATGACGAATATCAGGAGAGCTGGCTATTCTATCCTGTCTTCCTCCTTGAATAAGTATGTTGCATTTGCTATGTCCCAATCCATGGGACCTGCAGAAATATGGGAATCTGGAAGATTGCAACCAATATATTATGTACAGCCACTTTGCTTAAAAGTCTCGGATGCAGGCTATGAGGTCTTGGTAGGGGGGTGTGCTTTGTTAAACTTTAGCTGATTTGATTTCTTAGTTCCTTTCTTGTGGTAGAAATTCTTTTGTGTTTGGCCTGAATGTCAGTAGATCAAAGGTAAGAGAGTTTAATCCTAATGTAGAAACTAATTTTGTTTGTAGTTAGCATTTAACTGAAATGTACAGTTCAAATTCTAAAGTTTTCAATCTTAAGCAGGCTTTTAATACAGTCTCCACTGGAAGAATAGTTTGGTTTAGTTAATTAAAAAAGTGGTTGAAAATTGTTTCTCTGACTGGGTGAGATGGAATTTTTGTGCTGGCAGCATACAAAAGTAGCCAATGAAAGGGCATTGTGGCACACTGATAGAGTCCTTACCTATGGTCCAGGTTCGAGTCCCACGTCAGGATGTTGTGGCCTCAGGTGTCATAACACATCCAAACGGGTTGATTATTAAGATTTTTTTTTAAAATCCCAAATTGGTTGTCAGTGTAACTCTTCAAACATTCAGAATTAACTACCTGTTAACAGAATTAACTGTTGTCCAGTTGCAGAATCAGATCAAATGTCCGGCACTGTGATACAAGTTTTGCAATCACGGGCCAGTTGTGTATGGTCAGTACCTTGCTTACTGTGAACATTTGAAGAGATATGCTGTTTGGGGACTGACCCATCACTGAAATTCTGATACGCATTATTACATTGTGTCACACTGCATTTAGGTTCTTCATGGCAATACCTCTACCAATCAGTCCACTTGCCAAATGGCACACTCCTCTTTTACCATACACATGTTGGTTTTTCCCCTTTATTGGTACTTTTGTGAATTGTCTTGACTGAGTGCGAGACAGATATCTTTGATAAAATGTATTTTTTCAGCAGCACTCAGTTATATAATCCAATAAAATAATTAAGTAGCTAATTAGAATGCATTAAGGATAGCTGGACAGGTGATGTGTCATAGCTGCAGCCTATGCGAGCTCCTAGACAATAGTTTGAATCAAGAATATTAACTGTTTCAAGTTTGAGCAGCTTTGGCTCAGAGTTTGAGCTGGCGGCTGAACTACAAACACCGTAACACGCCATGGTGGGGCATTCTTTGAACCAAGAAGCAGTCATGCATCTTAGAATCGGACCTTCTGATTCAGTCAACTTTCAGAGACAGACAGCGTTACTGTGAGTGATGCAGGTAACAGACGTGGTATGTAGATTCTATTTCATGGGATACTATCACCAGGACTCTGAAAGTAGGATCTATGTTGTTTGTACACTGTGCACCCAAACAGTACTGGGGTTGTTTTAACAAGCCACATAACTAGAGAAGTACAGACAGATGCGAATGGGTTCTGTTCTGGCATTCACTCGCAAGTTGACTTCTACATGAGTTGGAATACAATACAGGACACTGTAAAGCAGCTGTTTGTAAGTACAGGAAATGTTTGTATGCCAGGTCTTTAAAATTGCACACTTGGATGGGTTTGCATTCATAAGTACAGGTGTTGATAGGTCAAGGACCCCCTGTATAGAGGATTTTAAATTGAACAAAGGGGCCAAAGGATCAAATTTGTGGTATATTAAAGAGCCTAGATGAGACAAAAAGGAAAGGAATTAACATGGGAAATGACAATTGGATGATAGAAAGTACGAATCTAAAAGTAAATCATAGATAAAGCTAGAGGTTGCAGAAAGAATAAAGGGATAACACTATGATATTGTATCTGAATACACCAAGCATTCTAAACAAAATAGGTGAACTGGGAGCATAAATAGGAATATGTATGATTTGGTGGCCATTACAGACACCTGACTGCAGATGACATGGATTACCTTGAAGGCTGAATATTGAAGGAGGCAGGAAGCTAGGAAAAGGAGAAGGGGTGGTTAATGATATACAGGGATGTCCTAACTCAGGAAACCAGGGAGTGGAAACAATAGGGATAGAGGTAAGAAATGATAAAGGCAAGGAGTAACTTGTGGCAGTACAGGGCCCTATCAGTAACCACACAATAGGGTGGAGCATTAAGGAAAAAATAAGGGAGATTGTCAAAAAGAAGGGTGATAAGCATGAGATTTTTTTAATCTGCATCTAATCATAATCTTCATATCTGGAAAAGTTAGATGAGCCAGGGTGCCTAAATGACTTCAGAGAATGTTTTTTTGTGATCGTTTCTTTGGACCATATGTTCTGGAGCTAACCTAAGTCCAAACTACACTAAGCTTGGTTATTGTGCAACAAGACAGGATTAATTGATCTTAAAGTGTACATGACCCCATGTAGCAGCGGCATAATGGGATGGAATTTTATATTCAGTTTGAGGGAGATTGGAATGGGTGTGAGATTATCTTCTTAAACATTTAATAAGGGAAATTATGTGCACAAAAGCAGACCAGGCTAAACTGAATTGTGAAATTAGGTTAAAGATAGGAAAGTAGAGATGTAATGGCAGACTTTTAAGGGAATGTCACCAAATGAACAAAAATAAGTTCCAAAGACTAAGAAAAATTTCAGGGAATGAAATGTGTAAAATTAAGGGGCACCCATTTAAAACTGAGTTGAGGCAAAATTTTTACTCTCAGGGGTCATGAATCTTCTGAACCCTTTTCCTGAAAAGATAGTGGAAGCAGTCTCTGAATATTTTGAAGGCAGACTATTGGTAATGGTTAGAAGATGGGCAGGAATGTTGATGTGCAATCTTGAGGGGCTGAATGGCTTATTCCTGTTCTTTGCTGTATGCAAGTTCCTCCCTCCCTTTTTCTCTAGTTAGGATCTACCCTGGTAGATGAAGCATAATATGGTTAATATAAGGTTATCCACATTGGTAGCAAAAACAGAAAGACAGGTTATTATCTGAATGACAATAGATTGAGACAGGGGGAGGTGCAGCAAGACATGGAAACCTGTACACCTGTTGCTGAAAATGCAGGTGCAGCAGGTGGTGAGTACAAATGCCTTCATAGTGAGAGGATTTGAGTACAGGAGTAGGGAAGTCTTGCTGCAATTGAATGGGGGATTGGTGAGACCATACCTGGTGTACTGTGAGCAGTTTTGGTCTCCTTTTCTGAGGAAAGGTGTTCTGCCTGTGGAGAGAGTACAACAAAGGTTTACCTGACTGATTCCTGGGATGACAGGACTGATACAAGAAGAGACTGGATTGGTTAAGACTGTATTGACTAGAGTTTAGAAGAATGAGGAGAGGTTCCATTAAAAACCTATAAAATTCTAACACGACTAAACAGGATAGATGCAAGAAGGATCTTCTTAATGACTGGGGAGTCCAGAACCAGGTGTGACAGCCTAAAGATGGAAGGGAGGCCATTTAGGACTGAGATGAGGATTTTTTTCACTGAGAATGTAAGCCTGTGGAATTCTCTGCCACAGAAAGTATTGAGGCCAAAACATTGAATGTTTCAAGAAGGAATTAGATACAGTTCTTGGGACTAAAGGGATCAAAGGTTATGAGGAAAAAGGAGGAAGAGGGTTCTACATTGGATAATCATCTATGATTGTACTGAATGGCTCGAAGGGCCGAATGGTCTACTCTTGCTCCTGTTTTCAATGATGGTATGTTTCTACTCTTCCTGGGGTACTTTTATGTATTTTGTATCATGAAAACCTAGACAAAAGATTTGTTCATGTCTGCCATTTCCTTGTTTCCCATTATTAGTTCCGATGTCTCATCCTCTAAGGAGCCTGTATTTACTTAACCATTCTCTTCCTTTTTATATTTGGAGAAGCTCTGTCTTTATTTTTACTCATATTTTCATTTTAATTTCCCTTTTTTCAGTCATACTTTACAACTTCTAAAATTTTCAATTCTCTGTCTTAATCTTCAGGGTTATAGACCCTTTTACAATCCCACTGAGAGATCTTTAATTGGGTGCACCTACTTCCCTCCCCTGCCATTGCTAAATGTGTAGTATCTGCCATTATTGCTTGCCAGACCTGTCCTGTCTGTACACAGTATCAAAACCAGAAGTTACTGGAAAAGCTGAGTAGGTCTGGCAGCATCTGTGAAGGAAAATCAGAATTAACGTTTCTGGTCTGGTTCAGAATTAACGTTTTGAGTCTGATGTCCTTTCCTCAGAACTGCCCTCTCTAGCCATGTTTCTGCAATTCTTTCTGCATCATGGTACTCTTTACAAATTACTTAATTTACCATTTTTGTTGTGGATACTATGCACATTGCTGTATCAATGGTATAAGTTTAAAAGAAAATAATTTTCTGCTTTTAATTTTGTTCCTTTTATGCTTCATTATTATCTGATTTCTGGCCATTTGTGTTATTTTTATTCCTTCCTTTAGTCTGTCCTTCAGTTTCCATTTGTAATTTTTACTTTAGGTTTCTGTTATTTCAGGCAATCCTGATCTCTCTCTCTGTCTGCTTTCCTGTCCCTCTCCCTCACCCCATAAGTATAACTTTAATTTATTTGACCGATTTCAACATTGTCTTGATGTGGAGGTTCTAGTGTTGGACTGGGTTGGACAAAGTCAGAAGTCAGACGACACAAGGTTATAGTCCAGCAGGTTTATTTTAAATCACAAGCTTTTGGAACGTTGCTCCTTTGTCAGGTGAAATCTGATGAAGGAGCAGTGCTTTGAAAGTTTGTGATTGCAAATAAACCTTTTGGACTGTAACCTGGTGTCATGTGACTTCTAACATTGTCTTGCATTGTGTTAAAGTCTGTTCTACTCTTGCTCGCTAAAGCAAACAAAAAGGCATGTATGCAACATAGTAAGTTGTTTTTCTTTGTTTTTAGCCTGCATATCAGAACTTACGGCAGCGAGTGGATAACTTTGTGTCCAACCATCTTGCAAGCCACACGTGGAGCCCTCATCTGAACAAGAATCAGCTAAGGAACAGTCTTAGACAGATGGTTCTACAGTAGGTGTCAGAATGCAGGAAATATTCTTTTATTACAGGTTTTAAAAATAATTATTGTATAGGATTAGGGATTTACTTAAGGAAGTTCTGTTAGAATGCCTTTGGATTTTCTTGTAGAATTGTTACACTCAGGAACATGCTAATAATTTGTAGAAATGCCTCAAGAATAATTTGAAAAAGAAAATCAAGGTGATTTAAAGGTGAATTAAGTGTTGGGAACAAGCTAGGCTGACTTGAATGCTATAGAACAAAACAGTTAATGTTAAAACTGTCATCTTTCAGATGAGATGTTAAATTGAAGTTTATATGCATCACCAAATAAACATAATAGACCACATGTATTACTTAAAATAAGTGTTTTTCTGTTTCTCTGGCCAATATTTCTCCCTCATTCTGCACTTCTTATTTGTGGCTTTAGCTGTTTGTTGGACTTTATGTAGTCATTGGTTTGTTTTGAAGCATCTTTGGCACGTCCTCTGAATATAACACAGTGCACATTAATGCATTTTTTCTTTTGAAGTGTTAATGGATGTAAAATATCTGGCTTTTAAGCGAGAGAAGCAAGATGAGGAAAGTTTGCAGATGCACTTACAAATAGTAGTTACTATGCAGCTGGAAGGTCTATCACTGATGCACATGGAAGAGATAATAGATTAGTGCTGGAGGACTGCGTGTTTTAAGTTGGGACTGGTGGCTGGAAGAGGATGCAGTAAGAACATAAGGATAAAATAGAGTTTAGTCAGCAAGTATTTTGAATTTGATACATCAAAGCACAGGAGCAATGGAGGTTTGAGGGTGGAGTGTTTGCTGAATGGAAATTAATGCAGAATACAATCTGTATGAAGGAGCTTTAAGTGAGTTAGATTTTGTCTGAAGATCTTCAGAGGCAAATATGAAAGTTTACTTTATTTTACATCTGCTATTCTACTTCAGTTACCAAGAGTGAGTAGAAGGATGTGCGATTTTGAAATCCTCAGTCTATAACTTGCTTATTGGAGGTATTGTACCACCAAATGTGACAGTTTGCTAAGTTAATGCAAAAGCTAAGATGTGCCCTGTGACATTACTACTGGAATAATTGATCTAGGATTGTATAAGGAACAAATATATAGTCAATACGATGTTTTTGTGGCCATTTACTTATTCTTTTGAACATGATTTTGAAAGAGAATCCATTGGTCATCTTAAATTACCATCAAACTTTTAAAAAATTAATGCCGTTTTCCCAATCGCCTTTCATATAAATTCCTCTATCTCCTTTGGCTTTTCTTACTGCCTCTGCATTTGTGGTCCAACCCTTCCAAAAGACCACCTCTTACCATTTCATCTTATTTACCAATTACATCCCCATCCCTTTTTTAAGCACAATTTGCCTGTGGAAACATATCTTCCGGCAGCAAAGGTTTCTGCTGTTTTCATTGAAAGAGCATTAACTAAGGTTGGGATTTACAATCATGTTGTTGTGACGGACATTATGGACCAGACTAAACCCCCTTAAAAATATATTAAGATAGCCTAGACCCCAACTTTTTCATATTTTTGAAGGCATTGCGTTCAGGATGCAATTCGACTACCAGCTTTGAAGCAAAACACACTTTATTCTTACATTATTGTTAAAACACAAACAAAAGAAAGAAGAATTGGAAGAACTTAACTCTATTGAGAAACTTAACAGAATAATAGATTATTTATCTACAAAACAGCAACTGTTCCAATATAGTAACATCCCACAAACACACCCTTAGCAAAGACAAATTCAGTAAAATAGATTGTCCCACATGCAATTCTAGCAGCATTGAGAACCCAAGTT